TAAAGTTGTGAAGATTGGGGACATGACTCCTAATGTTGAGGATTGTTGACTTGAAGACATAATTTGATACATTGACTTGATTTTACACATGAGTTTCATTGAGTTAACACCATGATTTTGCCTTAGATATTAAACTATCGACTTAAACCAAGAAAGTTCATGAAAAGGTCCTTCACTCATTTGTGTATTGTGTACCTTTTTCTAGTAGAACCCATATAGTTTCCATGGTTTTTAATTACAGATAAAGGAAATCAACTAATCTACATCTTTGGCCCATTAGTTGCAGTAACTTTTGGATCTTTCACTATTCTACATCTGTCATATCATCCTTAAAAACAGATATACCACAGGTCATAGAATAGCTTATACTTATCTCAACAAGCATAGAAATTCAAGGTAAGCAAAAGGTAGTCCCTTTTGGTTTTACCAAGGTCATTGAATACAACCATTTGAACATGACGAGTATAAACCATCAATAGTTCCTCCAGGAATCTTTATCTTTATTGTTTCTCAGAGTCAGCCTAGATCAGTTGTAGCTCTTATGGTGATTCCAAAACTTGACTTGAAAGGATCAAAATGCACTTTTAATCACCAACCGGATTGAGTAAGTATGCTGATAAATGATAATTCACTCTGTATACGACTTTTTACTAATCTAATAGTTACAACTTATGAGTCAAGATACAAGTATATGAACTTCAAATTCCCCCAACGCTGAGCCCCAAGGTACTAGTTAGAATGAACAGAAAAAAGCTAGTCTGTCTCAACCACAATAGCTTAACTAATTAATATGCAAAACCCCAATTCTAGCGGAAAAAAAAAAAGTTTGAAAGTAGAAATGATGAGCAACTAGATCAGATCTACAGCAATGTGCAAAATACAAAACAGGTTTTTCAGTATACGGATACAGAAGAGAGAGGATTAGAACCTTGACTATTCTACGGAGGTACTGAGGGAAAATTGGATTGGGGCGAGAGGGCATTCGCCCTTTCGATGAGGTCGGCAACATCCTCCCTTCTGGTTTACTGATTCGTGTACTTCTTCTTCAGTCAGCAACTGGAAATGCAGAATTCGATCGATGGTAAACCCCAATTCCAATCGACGCTATGCAAAATTCCGATCGATGATTTGTTCGATCACACACTTCTCGGTCCTCCGTTTGGTCTCTCGATCCCCCTTCGGCCCTTTCCCTGTAATTGTATACACAGCATAGTTGATGTGATGCAGCTTGAAGTAAACTCATTGGAGTGTTGGATCATGAAAAGCCCAAGCCCAAGCCCAAAGTCTAATGGGTTATACTAAAGCCCAGGCCCAAGAAACTATCTAACTTTGAAACTTAAAACTAGTAGTAGACTACGAGTTAGTGACGCACAATCAAAGATTTCACATGTGTAGCCCATGACAAATAAAAACATATGTTTTAATGGGTTATATTATAGGTGGATATTTATCTGTTTTTTTTAAGAAAATTTAAAATCTGATCTAGATTTGAGAAAATCTCGATTAGTAATATTTGATTGAGATTAAATCCAATTCACCAAATTAGATTGACCCACCTCAAGATTTTATTTCTGATAACAAATATTTTCCTGATTAATTCCTCCTTTCTTATTAACAACAATATAAATCGTCCGTGTTGTCACATTTCAGGAGGTTTCGACGTGTTTGATAATCCTTCACAAAAAAATCGAATTTGTCAAATTTAATTGAACATTTTTTTGTCATGGCGAACATAAATAGGATTTTTAATGATATTGGGAGTAATAAGAACATGGATAAAAGATACGTGTATGATAGGGATCAGAACTAAGAAGAATGGAGCCCACATACCTACTAATTGGAATCTTTGAACCATTAACAACTTATACAAAAGAAGATAAACCATTGTCATGAGTTTTGCATCCATATGCAAATGAAATAATGCCTTGGAATCCATGTACAATCCACCATTACCAAGTTCGTTTAGTGACATAGTATTAAACATTTAAGATAGGAGTCTCTTGATTCGGAATAATTATAAGTTGTTCCATTAAACCAAGTCCATGGAGTCATGTTGTTGGACTGGCAATTGTGTTTTTCTTAAAAAATCATGATGAAAGATTGGAAAATCATCCTATATATCCATAACTCTATAAGAGAGTGTATTCGGTTCCATTCTACAATGTTAGTCTTTTTTGTTGGTTCGGCAAGACGATTTGTGACTCCAAATCCAATGCAACGAGTTTATAAAAGGTCATGTCAAGCATCATAATTTAGGTGTTGTTTGATTTTCTGAAGCAAAAATCAATGAAGTCTGCGGACCACCTCTGCAACCCTCTGCAATAGAAGAGATTGACCAAACGGCTGCAGACTATAATAAAAAGTGTGTTTGCTTTTTTAACATCTGCATAGTGCTGTAGATATTAAAAAATTAAAATAAACTAATTTTATAAACCGAAAATAGCTTTTTAATACGTAAAATTTAATAATGTATAACATTTCGGTAAAAATTAATGATATTTGAGTAAAAAAGAATGATATTTCAATAAAAAATAAAGATATTTTAGTAAAAAATAATGATGTTTCATCAATAGATTATCATTATTAAATATAAAAAAAATAAAAAATAAATTCAATAAGAATAAACGAAAAAAAATGTGAAATAAAATTTTAATAATATATAATCAAAATTTCAGCAATAAAAAAAGAAGAAGAAAAGGTTGGAAGAGATTGAAAGAGGTAGTACAAGTGTTGCATCAAACAGAGCATGCGCAGAGGTTTTTGACTCAGAAGACTTCTAAAAAACAAACAATTGCGAGATAAAAAGTGTTGCACGTGTGCTGCACCGCGCAGCAATAAGAGGTTTGAAGAGGTTTTTTCCAAAAAAACAAACAACACCTTCGATCTACATATAGAATAAAATGGATGTATGATTTGATGTTGATGATGTCATATGGTTTTTCAATAGTTTGTGCAGGAGCAACCATGGTCGATTAGATGAAAAAATTCAGAAGCTTGTGCTGTGAGAAAGAGCATAAAGAAACATAAGGAAGGTTTTGCGGCCAATTATAGGTTGTGATTAGGGTGACAAGAACATGAGAAAGGATGAGAGAAGGAACGAAAGAAAGTTCTAAGCAAGAGAGATAGGATCAAGATCATGTTTGCTCCGATGGACTTCATTAAGTAAATCTTGAAAATACATTGAATTTGTGAATTCTTCGTATGCTGGCTTCTCAGTGAGCATATCATTATGCATAGATGTAGTTAATTCTTGTTCTTAACAAGGTAGTTATAAATGCTACTATCATATAGTGTGAAACTCGATGATAACCGCATATAATCGAATATGGAATTCAATCATCTAATTGTTAGAGTGTGATATTAGTTGGACCCCTTAATGACATGAATAAATTTGAGCATGTGGTCGTACCTTGAAGAATCTGATGATCTAATTCATATTCACAAGTCAAGATGTTGGAGATACACTTACTGACACAGTTAGTAACATTGCTAATGATGCATAAGCTTATTGGGTTACACACAGAATGCAATCAATATTCAAATCAAAAATAACGATTTAAGAGTGACTACTTTGTTAATTTATCATAAATATGATGATATAGTTAGAAATTAGAAAGGTTGAGAGGCTTATTATGTAATTAACATGATTGGATAATTTCTATATAGTAATTAATATTTTTGAGCTTCAAATCAACCGATATAGATTAAAAAATAGTTAATTGCTAAAGCCCTTAGAATACTTAAATGCTCATTGATCTCTCACGTTTCTCTCCTCGCTTTCGACTCTTTCTTGTTGAAAAAGAAACACACACACATTTTGTATGGTGTTTTTGGTGATTAAGAAACAAAATGAATTTTTGTTTGTTTGTTTGATTCTTGTTTGTCTGATTGTATTTGATGATCCATTTATAGCTTAATTGGAACAGTTCTTGGTCATTTAAAACCATTTTTCCTGCATTGTGCTTGATTTATTAAATGTTACCGAATCAACCACTCCCCAACATTTCCATCCAACACTTCTGTATTTTAAAAGTTTAGTTGCTCTATTATAGAACTCCATAAGGCTTAGGTACAAGTATTGAAAGTTGCACAACATCCTATCGATCCATAATTTAAACATACAAATATGGTTCTAGGTCATTAGAAATATTAAACGAATACACAAATGGCAAAACAGTTGAAGTTGTTTCTTAAGTAAAACATGTATCTCTCCACAAAAGGTTTAAATGATAACACCTATGTATATGTAAGGTTTAACTATTAGAAGTTATTAGAATTTATTTTGGCATCTTGAAATTTATTGATCAATTTTTATTCATACGATATATTTTTTTTAAAACAAAAAGGTTAATCGGGTATGTCCAAACTTGAAATGGAAAGATATTTATGGGTTTATATCGTCTTTATAATACTTTCGTTTTGTTGTGTGGTTTATCAGAATTTACTCTAAATTTAAAATTTCAAATTAACACTGCCCAAAAAGTTAATGCCTCAGTTTTTCAGGGGTACAATTGTACGACCAAATTCCTTAGGGGGTGAAACTGTACTTTCGTCTGACTTCTAAAGAATCCAAGAAAACGTCCAGCCTGGAGCCCCGTGCAGCATCGCGACAGCTAAGCACGGTACAATCAAATCAACCATCAGTACAACCCAATCGTACCATCCGTACTACTACACATATTCTAGATCTCCATCACATTTAATAAACGGCATTAACAGAAACTTAACGTCCGTTTAAAATACCATTTAAATTATCAATACAAAAAAACTCTATTATCCTCCCAAATTCAAAATGAGTCTTCAACTGTAAAACTAATCTCTTTGATTATCAAAAAATTCGTACTTTCTGTGCCATTCTTCTTCTTCTTCTTCTTCTTCTGCTGATGATTCATGGATTCATGATACATGTTTTTTCTGTACAATCCCTCATTGATTAAAAAAGTTTAATCTTAATTAAAACCCATGAGATTTGATTAATTAATTAATTAATTAATCAAGATTTAGTTTTGGTTCGATTCACACTGCATCAACCTTTCTTCTTCTTCTTCTTCCATGTATTTTCTTACCTCTTTCCTGATCATCTCTTGCATCACTGAAAGAATCTCTGCACCGAACGGCGACGCTTGATCACGGACTTCGTAACCATACGAACTTGTTCCCGGCGGAGAAAGTGTTAACGCCGTCGATGGCGGCGGTTGTAATCCAATCAATCCATAAGAGGTTGTATCGTTTTTTCCGATGGAGAGAAACGGAATATTGTTACCTGAATCGCAGATGTCAGATCCAGAAGGACTGCCAGACATAGACATAGACATAGCGACAGTCACATCAGCACCACCGCTCTCCGACCGCTTCAGCACTCTCGCCGACCGCTCCTCTCCGCCATCGACCGCAGAACTCTTCCGCTTCAAAGTCGAGTTCCAGTGATTCTTCACCGCGTTATCAGTGCGTCCATTAAGCAACCTAGCAATCGTCGCCCACTTGTTCCCAAACCGCTTGTGCGCCTCCACAATAACCTTATCTTCCTCCTCCGTAAACGACCGATGCTCAACCTCCGGCGAAAGCTGATTACACCACCGCAAACGGCACGACTTACCAGATCTCCCTGGAATCGACTTACTAATCAACGTCCAGTTCCGAGCACCATGCCGCTCAACTAACTTACCCAAAAGCTCATCCTCTTCGCTGCTCCATGGTCCCTTGATCCGTTCCAAATCACTCCGAGATGATTCCATGAAATGTAGGCCGACAATGGGTGAAAGATGAACAGGAGAAGAGAGGGTTTTGGATTAAATAGGGAAGAAGGGTAACCGAATGAGTCGGTGAAGTTTTGAACAGGTGAGAAGGCGTTATAGTTACGGGGGTTTTGAAGTAGGCGGTTGAAGAAGAAGGAATACAGCTGTAGATATGACACGTGTCGAGATATTAGTGCGTGGGTTTATGTCACGAAAATCTCGCCTGTTTTTGTAACTTATCGGGGGAAGTTGGAGGAACAACTTATAACTTACCTATTTTGACTCGTTTACGGTTTTGGAGGTTACTTTATTTCATAAGTTTCCTTTGATTTATTTATTTATTTATTTTTTAATTTCAATAACATTTTTAAATAATTAATTTTTGTATAAGTAAAATGGTAAATTGTGATAAAATATTATCATTTTATTTTTATTATAGTATTCTACGTCATGCTTTATGAATGTCCATGTATATAGCAATCTATATCTTAAATAGAAACAAAATATTATCCTCTATTTGTGAGCATATATATTGTGAATAAACAAGTAAAATAACAAACAAATTAACAGAGGAAACCCAATAGCCGTACGAATCAAAGTCCAACTATAACGACCGTATAACCTTGTAGATATGCAAAATTTTAACATGACGAATATATATATGACGCAATCGATACCTCTGATATGTATGATGTCAAAATCAAGTGTCATTATGTCTTGATCGACTGATGCTCGATTCTTTTCAAATAACTGGATTTAATTAGGAGACACTCACATGCAAGTTGCTAGAAGGGGAAGATTTTTACAAAGAAAATAACGGACTTTGGAGCCAATCAATCTATTGTATATGAGCTTTTCGATTTCTAGAAGAGAACCACAAAAATGAATACTCCACTACTGAATCAAAAATGTAGTCATGTTTTCTATTGTTGTTGTTGAATACCAACGCATTGTTGAATCTCCATAACATCCACCATGTAGTTTGAATAATTGTTAGGCTGTGATTGATTTTTTCACAAAATAGCTATGGAATCAAAATAAACATTTTAACCATCATTACTCACCTTAGATCTTGTTCTAGAAACTGTTAGCAACAAAACACATATAAGGAATAGGATCGAAACAATACTTTTTTGTACTTTGATGGTCATGGTTCTTTGGATGATTTGAAGGTCCGAACCAACACCTTTGTAATGTGATTGCACCGATTGCACCCAAAATGAATGACCAATAAATAGACAAACCCTTCTTTTCTTGATGTGACCAAGCCCGAATCTTAGAGAATGTGTAGGTAAAAACCATGAACTAGGGAGGAATGATGGAATGAAATTTGTATATCTTTATCTAGGATCGCAAACCTAGTGTTTTAATAAGTCTTATCTTTTGACTTGGGAGAATTATCCCCTAAGTTCCTTTTAGTTTCTAATTAACACACCATCACATAATGAATTAACAAACTAGTCCGTCATCATTCTCTTTTGTCATATTACGCTTGAATCACATCTAGCGTGCAACGAAAATGGACCATGCTATTTATAGAAATATTATCAACTTTTTGTGAACATGTATATATTTTCAACAATCTCTCACTTTAACATGTCACAACAACTTTATAGTCTCGTATTTCTTAAACCTAGCAAGTTGTTGTCATCCAAGACTACTATTGTACTCATAACCTATATGTATGAAATAGTCATTAATAAGTTATCAAATATTTCTTTATTATATTGATATCCTTATAAACGTAAGTAATGAAATTATGTCATTCAAACGTTCAAGATTATGTTTCCCGATATAGATTTGTGGCGATCAACAACATATTAACTATTGATCCATCGAACTCCAGCTAGCAGAATATACAAGAGCTACATCAAATATGAATGCCCTTATCTTCCTTTATAATAAAAGAATAGTTGTTTGTATCACTTGTCATTTTCTCATAATTTATATTTTCTTTTCAAATGCTTTATAAAATGATACTTGACATTTTATCATCATTTTTTATTTTTGAAAAGTATTGATGTTGATAATAAGTAAGACAATTATTTATTTGATTCCTGCTTTTTAGAAGAAATTTTGTCTTGAATAAGTTTCCGTTATGATTACCGATAATTAATTGTATTTCTATATTGAAAATCCTACAAAACCATGTCTAACTAATAACTTACTAAACATAACTGATTAATAATTATGAGTTTTACTATAAAAAATTAATTATTGTTGTAACCCTAGTTCCCGCGGGCTATAACCTAGTGTATAATATCCGAAGCGAGAAGGGCATGGTTTTGGATAAGCTATCAAGAAAAGAAATTAATTTTAAACGACACCCAACTATTCCACTTTATCAATATAGGTTCAGGGTGGTAATCAATCTCCGTAGGAACTAAATAGTGAAATTATTAGTTGGATCACCCAACCAGTGCCAAGAGTCTCCAAAATGTTGAAAAACTAAAGGTTTCTAAAAGACTCAACATGTCATGAAATTAAAAACTTTCAAAACTGAGCCTCCTTATATTTTCAATTCTAAGGCCATAAAACATAATAATAGCAAGAACATGGACATGATAAAAAAAACATAACATTTTTTCTTGGGATCGGTATAACTCAACGAGAGAATCAATCATGAAATGGCGAGTCCTATCATTTCAAAAACTTGTATTTGCTTTATTTTCAACCTTTCTTTTAAAGAGATGATGGAGATCAATGCCCAACTCCTTAAAGTCCTCTCTAATTATAGGAATGAACACAAACATGTACCGAGTTAAGTTTTTAGTTGTTAGCCTGTAGTTATGACCAACAGAGTTGTGGGTAACACGAAGAACACGGGGGAAAATTGTAATGTCCCAAAAGTTAGTACCAAAAAGTTTTTTTTTTCATATTAAAAAGCCCATCAATTAAACATGTTTATAAAAACCACCAAGGGAAAATAAGAGTATAACAATCAATCATCTAGATACATCGAGTCAAATAAGGCGGAAAACAGGGTGTGTGTGCAACGCGATCATCCCAAGCTCTTCCCCTTCGATCCGAAAGTACCTGAAACATAAATTGAAATCCGTAAGCACGAAGCTTAGTGAGTTCCCCAAGACACCACATACCATACATACAATAGGTCTTGCCCTACAATCATCGGGGCCCACTTGGAATAGATTTGTCAATAACATGATATGAGCCCCACCCAATCATACTCATCAGGCTTCACCCAATATAGATAAAGACATATAACATACATGCAAGAATTACTAAGATATATGACATACAATATTCATCAGACCCCACCCGGTATACATACCACATACCACACATGCAAGAGTCACACAACAACTAGCATCCTAATCATAATAAATCATTGGTCGGTATTGGTGTCTTCGACCCGCCAAGTACAATGAGGAAACTCACCTCAATCTGGTGAAGAATAAGATAAATGCCCGGGTTGCCGAACCGGAGAATCCCCACGCTAACCAAAAAATAAAATCCCAATTAATCATTGGTCCATAAACCATATTTGGGAATCAATTTCATTAGTCCCAATACCCATGGTAAAAGACCATTTTACCCTTCCTTCACTTGGCCCAATAACCAAGGCCCAAGCCCAATGACACTAAAGCCCAATAGTGACTCAATTCCTAGAGGACACCTAAAGCTCTATATGGTCCCAAATACAAGAAGGCACACAACCTAAAAATGGCCCAAGGTCAGAACACTGGTGGCCTAATAAGGCCAAAAACCCAACATCGCGTCTCATGTCGTGACCAATCCTTGGTCACATCGTGAGAGTCACCCGTTCCGAGTCCAAATATTAGTTCCTGACTCAGACAACTCAGTAGGCGACGATTTTTGCCTGCTTACGTCGTGAGACCTCATGTGTGACAACTGGAAAATTTATAGATCAAACAAGGTCTAAACTTTAACCGTGTACAAGTGAATTCGCAACGTAACTTTGATGCAATAGAACTTTGAAAGGCAAAAGAGCATGTTTATATAAGTTCATATATAAATATATACTTTGAAAACCATGTGGTAATAAACCTTTGAAAGTCAATATAAGTCAACATAAGACCACATAAGACAATACAACACAACGCAAGACAACTCAAGCCAAAAAAAGTCAAATGAATTATAATGCTTTAGGGATTTCAGTTTTGGGAATAAAATGGCATGAAATTTCAGTTGTAATGGATTAAAATCCCATGCCTTGGACTGAAATCACCGCTCATGGAAACACCACAAGACCGAAAGCAACTATTTTAAGGCCCGTTAGGACTGAAATCTCTTCACATGGACCGAAAACTCTTTCTTGGATGATGTCATGACCGAAATCAGCATTTTGATGAGTGCACAAGGGGATTTCGGTCATTCCTTGACCGAAATCACCCCCATTTTGGCCGAAATCACCAAATGGTGGTCAAATAATGCCACTTGATTGGTTAAAATTACCTTCCCAACGTGATAAGTACACATACCAATGTAAACATCAACTTACTATCACTTTATTTCACTCTTATCCCATATATAAACCATAATTAGGAACTCTTTCACCATTCTTCATTCACAATTAAACAACTTCACCTCATATTCTCTCAAGTCTTCAAACCCATTCTTCCCATTCTTGCTTTCTCTAAAAAACAAGACCATCTTCCAAGCTAATTCAAGGATTGTTGATACGACTACCTTCAAGTGTTCTAACTTAAAGATCATCACCACCACCTCGTTATCAAATCGCAAATTCATATAAGGTGAGTTCATACCCCCACAATTTCCAATATTTTTTTTTTTTTGGGGGGGGGGGGGGGAGGGGGGGTACAAGTAAAACACAAGAATACTTGTGTAAATATACAAATCGCTTCTTACGTTTTCATATATTTTGTACACTTTACGTGAAAATGCTACATAAATGCTACTACCAAACTTATAAACTCTTACATGCAAAGTCGTTAAGTTACAAAGGTTTTTCATTTTCAATGGAACATACATTTACAAACTATAATAGGTATATTTTG